TGAATGTCTTACTTAAAGGATCAGTGTGAACGATTTAGTGGCAATCTAGTGGTGAAGTTTCAGGTGGACTCATTCTAGGGTAACAAAACACTTTAAATTCTTATTATATACTTTAATAAAAACATATCTATGAATATTATATTCATATTCTGACAATAGATGGTCCTAAATGTTAAACACTGGACCTTTAAGTATTCAGTTTCTTATAAAAAATGTTATAAAAAAGTACCAGATTGTAACAAGAACACATTGAAAGGATCCAATGTGACATTATATTGCATGGCTTATGTATCGGACACAAACACAAACACAATGTTTGTACATTATGTACAGTATAGAAACTCTTCTGGAGTTGCTGCTGATGTTTCCATTAAAATGTTTATCCTGCTGCATTACACAACAGCACCAACGAGCTCATAGGAATTTGAAAGCAGAAGTGTGGATTTTGGTGTAAATTACAGTTTCAACTGTGTCTGTCTCACCTCCTTCTCTCCATCCAATTATCCCTGTTTCAACTGATTTCCCTTCTGCATACAGGTTTCTAAATGAAGAGGCAGTTCCGCTTTTCCAGTACTTTCTCAAAGCTTCTGTCCCCATTTCACTAGAAAGAAGTCAACATCGATCACAGAAAGCTGTGCAGTAAAAGTCCCCCTCCGAGTCCGACTCTGACTCGAAACAGTCAGAGAAGATACATAAGAACATATTGATAAGACGTATTGTTTGCAGCATAAATGTTTTCTGCATCATATCAGCATTAAAAGAAACCGCAACCTTCGTCCTGAGATCTTCTAAAAGCTTCGTACTTTGCCGGTTACACAAGTAAAATTAAACAATAATGACTATCACAACTTCTGTCATGTTTACGTAGTTTTGACCCTCATATATATCAGTTATAATAACACTGCACTCACAAAAGTAATTGGAGATCTGGGTCGGTCACACAGGGAAAGAAGTCAGCTTAACTATGGAAAGGGTTAGTAAGTCGAAGTTCAGACAGTTTGGGTAATAATTTGACCTTTTTCCTTCGTTTTCTCTTCCAAAAAAGTTTGGTTACCTATTATTTTTATTTTAAAAACATGCCAGATCGTCCAAAAAACAACAAAATACACCGATGTTATCCGTCCTCCTGACACCGCTACAGTTAATGTTCAAATCATGTCATGGTCACTACAATAAACAGTACTGTCTGTTGGCAGTGGATGAATGTAGCTTATTACATTTACTTCAAGTATTTTCTACTATTTCCATTTTCATTGATACTTTATACTGCTACTCCACTACACATCAGCAAAAATATAACAGTACAATATAGTAGTTATATATTGTACTTTTTACTCCACTGACAGCTGTAGTTACTGGTTACATTTCACAGATTCAGATTAATACAAAATATAGTTAATATTAAGCAACAATCAGATAATAAATTATGATGTATTATTATGGATTCAGACACCATTGCACCACTACCCTCCCGATACCTGAACTTTGTACCAATCCAATACGTGTGCGTGATTATCATCTAACAAGCGTATACTAATAAGCCTGTATCGTTGTTGTATGGCCTGGCTCATGTTAAACACTTCCTATCTACTATCCTGGGTAAAAAAGGCGAACGGGACACTGAAATAGTACTCGCAGATACCAAATACCAAATTTCAGGCAGTTTTGGAGGAACTCTAGGATTACTACTTCACCGTAGCGACGATACCACGTTCCCAGATCTCCGTAATCAACTTGATGAGTACAGCGTTATGATAACTCTTCAGAATAATAACTACAACAGTTACGACTAAAGTTGTGATATTTTGGCATTGGCAGCAGTGTGAACGAGTCCAAACTCCTCTACACGATGTTCCTCTCCAGCATGGGTTCCTGGGCCAGAATGCGCTGGAAGCCGAGGCTGCTCAAGTTCAACGTTTGAAAGTTTCCGTCCAGGATCAGCTCTGCCACAGCGCGACCCACCGCGGGCGAGTGCTGCAGGCCGTGGCCGCTGAAACCGGTGGCAAAGTACATGTTGCTGATCAGCGGGTGAATGCCGATGATGCCGTTCTGGTCGAAGGTGTTGTAGTCGTAGAAACCTGCCCAAGCACTGGTCACCTGGGCGAAGGAACAAAGAGAGAACGAGGGCTGAGATACACATCTACTAATCGGTTTTGTGTGGAAAAAATAAAAAAATATTTCTTCTTTGTCCTCTTTTTGAGTTGGCAAAGTATCAAAATCTACTTTTATCTTGTAAAATTATCTCAAAATAATCTTCTCTCTCAGATTAATACTCTGTCGTATTAAATAAAGTGAACTACCATACCTGTAGAACAATTACCAGGCAAATAAGCAATGAAAAACCTCATATATTGACTAATTATTCATTATTAGTAACGTATCCAAACCCTACCTTCAGTTTCTCAAAGGCAGGGACACGATTGGCCAAGTTGGGCCAAATCTTGTCCTCAAAAAACTGGTGGTCCACCTCCAGGTTACTGGTGTCTGGCTCCTCCGCCTGAGGAAAAAAAACACATAAACGTTTTATCTTCATTCATAAAAATAGCGAGAGTAACAGATGTGAACTCTAACACACCTCCTCTGGTGATGTCCCGGCGATGTAGTTCCCTCCTAACCCCTCTCTCCTGAAGTAAACTCCAGAGTAATCAATCAGGAAGGGAGTGTCTAGACCGGGACCATCAGGACAGTGGACGACATACACGTACCTGAAGAAAGAGAGTTGTACAGGTCTCGACTGAAAGTAATACCTTACATTACGTTATGTTCTTACAGTCCTGTGTAAAAGCACTGATTGTGTATCTAATGCAAGAGACTTAATGTTTGTAGCAGCAGTTTTTATCATTAAAACGGTCAAAGTTTTACTCTTGTACTCTTGTATGGAATAAGATACAGGACATTTTTATATCTGCCTGACATGTATTAAATAAAAATATCTATACAAATCAATTAATTCTGAATACAGACGCTTTTTCAAGTCATTATCTCGATTCACGATAATAGAAATTCACCACAATATATAAACTTATAGTTAGTTTATAGTTTAGGAGGGAGGTTGAGCCAGCGGTTGTTTTAGGAGTAATTTAAAACTGATCTTTCATTGTTTCTTCAATTATACGTACAGGCAAACCTATGAAGGCAACGCAAATTTAATCAGCATCACTCAGATAGATAGAGAAATGATCAGATCCCTCATGCGTAGTTGGAAAGAAGTGGAGAGGACGGGGGGTTTCTGAAGCTATTCAACCATCCGACAAGCAGTTCCGATGAAGCATGAAGACAATTTAACTGTCTGGAACTTATAATCTGACATTCATACCCTCTTCACGCAGAGACAAGAAAGGATTCAGGGTTTGAACTTCTCTCTCTTTAGTTCTCTTTTCATGAATCTCAACTATTTGTTTCACTTTTCATGTGACCGAGTGATTCTATGATCGTCTTCCCAGAGAAAGAAAGACTGGAAATATACGACAGCTCAGCTTTTCACCGACCTATGAACTATAAAGACTTCTGCATTTCCGTCGTATAAACCTGCTGTTTTCCAGTAAGAGCCGACCTTAAGTGTGTTTGAGGGTGTTCACGTTCACACTGGGTGAGCAGTGAAACAACTCATACTCACATTTTTACCAGTATGTATAAAAAAGGGGCTACACAGTTCACTGGATCTGGCAGTAATAAAAAAAAAAAATCAAATTAAAGCTTAAAGTCAACACTATAAAGTTTGTCAGATTTCCAATTTACTGGACTACAGAGTCCAATAAAACTGTCAGAATGCTAATGAACTGTATGAGGCCACTGCCAGCCCCTTTCAAAGAAAACTAGGCACTGTGACAGCAACTCGAATGGAAAAATATGCCTCTTTAAGTCAAAGACCGACCTTTTCCGAGGCTCAACGGGCAGTGGAATTCCAGCGATGGTGTCTTTGGGACCGGAGCCAAGTCCCAGCATCGCTGCCAGTTTACCAGAAAAGGCTCCTGCTGCATTCACCACAATGGCACATTCCACCGGCTGGTACACCAGGCTGTTCGGCATCTGCACCTGCTCACACACAAGATGTTATCCCATCGTGTGTGACGATATGCTGCCGTGTCAGTACCACAAAGGAGTTGCTCGAGTAGTATAATTACTAAAAATACTCCATTACAAGTCAAATACCAGCGACTGAAACTGGTTGAACCACGACTACTGCACTTGTCATGGTGGTAAGCTAGACTGATATTGGAATATATCGATACATTTTTACTGTGGCGCAAAATGGCTGCAATTAATAAGGAAAAATAATGCTGGGCTACTTAGAAAATACTCTAAAAGTAACTACAAAACGATAAATATAATAAGTAATAAGTATAAGTATAAATGATAAGTATAATTACTTCAAACATTATTGTTATTATTTAAACTACGCTATCATAGAATTACATTAAAATCAGCATTCTGTATGTTTTGTATGTAAAATCTTTAATTTGTAAAGTGGCTAGTGAGTAAAAAGTACAATATTTCCTTCTAGTATAAAGCATTAAAGGGTAATACTCAAGTACAATTCCCTCAAAACTTACTTTCCACCCCTGGAGTCCTACTTACTTTGACAGATTTTATTCTTGTGCGATCCAGCTGTTCGCCATCAGTGGTCGTCGCCACGGTTGTCGTATGTTTAAAATCTGAAGAAGACAGAAATAGAAACAGTAATAAATCAGCCAGCAGACAGATCAATAAACTCATTCTGCATTCACACTGCGCAGTAACTCAATGTGTGTCCAGTTGTTTTAACGACCTCCTGGATCCACATTGTTCACATACGTTTTATAATCTTCATAAATCAGAAATTGTGTCATTTATTGCATGTCTGTCCGTCCCGTGACTCTTCTTGAGGTTTATTCCATTTTTTCCAGAGTTTGGGGCTTTTTAGATAAAAAATGACTTGACAATTAAATACAATTCAAATTACTGCTACAAATGACCAGTTGTAAAATGATACTGTTGCCTTGGTATAAGTGTTAACATAAACTGCTAAATCAAACTGCTAAAATATTTATTCTATATTTAGGATTTAAAAATGCTCCAGAGGTTTCTTAAGTTGGTTTTCCAACCTTTTTCCTGAAGAGACCCTTTTTCTATCATTGAATAAACTGATTAAGTGACATATCTTATGGATATTTTTATATTATATTCGATACATGAATACATACAACTGATAAACTGAGATATACCAGATATTTAACTCAATAACTGCAGGAAGTTTGAGTAAAACTAGTGATGTGGATGAATTTTGAGCAGATTATTTCCTGTGAATATTGATCAGACATGAGTTTTCCTGATAATTTTAGCAGCTTTTTATACAATTATCTGTCTGTACGATGTATTTTCTTTATTTTTTAACAATCATACAGACTTAACAGGCTTATTTCTTCTCCCAAATACTTAGCCACTTGTTCTATTAGCTCTTCGGTTGTTTTAACTGCGTACCTTTGAGCTTGTTTCAGGCTTCCACAGCCCTTTAAATAAATACATCAACCATATTAATTTAGTTTTCTTTACTGTGTATATTCTGTAACAGCGAGTTTGCATCAGGACGCCACAACAAACCTGTAACTTCTCCATAGCACGGAATGACTCCCATAGAGATGGCTTTCCTTCTGAAGGCGTTCAGCAGGGTCCAGGGGTCAAACCAGCCCTCGTTCTCCAACCCTGGAAGGCAGGTTGATACGTTACATTTTCATTTGTGCAAACGCCATCCATCAACACTGAGACACACCGGGGTTGTTGAGGGTCAACAACAATCCTTTATATATTTACCCACAATACCCTCTCACCAGTGGGGGGAATGTAGTATATTTATTCAAGTACTTAAATGTACAGTGTGTAATTTCTGCCACTAGGGGGGTCTCTCATATCAAAACAATAACAAAAGAGAAGGAGCGTGGGATCATGGGAGTTGTTGTCTTTTCCAGCACTGCCATCACTGCAGTCAGTTTGTGTTCATCAGGAGGTTTCTACCAGGAGCCGAATTACCCGCAGAGGTCTCCTCCTCTCCAAAACAAACAGACCCGCTGATTAAAACCAGTAAAAACACTGAATGAAGCAGTTCCACCTTAAAAATCTGTGTTTCTTTGATGCTGTTTGGCTGCGACTCGAGCTGCTGCTAACGTTAGCTCAGCTTGTTTCTCTGATAACTTAAGATCCAGACGTCTGATGACTAAAATACTTCATTTAGTTCAAACATAAAGTTAAAAACCACCAAGATCTAAACAGTGTATCTTAAAAATGTGGCTAAAAACTGGAGAAAAAGTTAATTTATGACAACCACAATGCATTAAGGGGATGTGACACGTGACATGTGATGTGATTTCTCTAGTGAACATTGTTGGAAACATCTGGAACTAGGTTTCTATTGTTTGTAGACATGTTAAAGCGTAACTGTAACCAATTATATCTTATATAATATCTTGCGTATGTTCTGCACTCACCATACGAAGCGAGCACGACACCCTCTGTGTTTATCCACGGAAATTTCTCCTTCAGTTGTGTCGGAGAGAGAAGTGCAACCTGGGCTCCAGCTTCTCTACAGCAGAATCACAAAGTAAGAAAACTGACTGACAAACACTTTTCTGATATCACACAGCGCCGCTGAACGACTGTCACCTCTGGGTTTTGTAGTTCTCCTCCATGATGTGAGCCACGTCCTCGCTGGCCAGGAAGAGGTACCCCGAATGGTTGAACTGCAGGTCCACCGGTTCGTCCAACGTGGCGAGGTGTTCCTGGGAGGACACCGAGGTGAGACAGTCACTTAACGCTCATTTACACACGCAGATAATCTCTTTAAAGGTTAGAAAAACAAACAAACAACAGGGCTACAGCTCATAAATACAGTATGCACTCTGCCTGTAGGTCACACGTTTGTCCTCAGAGTGGCGCCAGAGGAAAGACAATATGCTCATTAAAGGAATAGCCTTATATTAATATTTTCTCTCTGCCAGAAAGTAAAGTTGATTCATAAACCAACAGACGCTGACCAAAGCGTTTTACAAAGGAGAAATAAAACATAAAAAGGGGATAAAATCCTATCATAACACAAACAACATTTGCAAAAACATAAAAAAACTAAATATAAATGTATAGAAATATATCTTTGTTCTATAATTATGAGCTTAAAGAAAAGAAATAGGTCTTTAAACAGGTTTTAATGGGTGTTAATGGAGGTGGAATAAGGGCGTTTTCAACTGTGCTGGACTGCGTTATAATATAAAAGCAGGACACCGTAATATTACTGACTGAATGGTGTTTCAGATCTCTCGCTGTGTTAATTAACGACCTCTGTTATAAAAGGTACAAAGGCACAAAAAGATCAAACCTGGTCAAACATCAGCTGGCACACACACACACACAAGCTGCTCCGGCTCAAATATTAACATAAGACGCGTGTCACGGTGACACCGAATGAATCGAAGGCTCGTCATTCATTGCCAGCGAGCCAGAGCGAGTACTCTGTACGAAACAGCACGGTGACCTACGTTGATGTTCCTCATGAAGTCTGCCGAGGCCAGGGAGAGGTGGATGTTCTCAGGCAGGGAGAACTGCTGTCGGATCCCCCCAGCGGAGAGCACGGTGGAGGCCTGGGAGTACTGGTTAATAACAGTTAATAACAGTTAATAACAGTTAATAACAGGTTAATAACAGTTAATAAACAACTGTGTAGAAGCACCATCATGCTGCTCATCACTCTCGTCTGCCACCTTTAACAGACCCTTCTCCTGAATGTCAGCCTTCATTTCTCTCAGCTACTAACGGCTGCAAGTATTATTTAAGAAGGGAATTACTTTCTGTATTATTTGTTCTGGGTGTGCCCCTGATATTTCCTTCTTACAGGGTCGATGTGGTAACAGAGATCACATCAAGTAAGGAGTAAGGAGTCTCCAACAGTCCTTGAATGGAGAGAAACAGTTCAGGAAATGAATGTTAAAGAACACTTAAATGTAACCCACTCTTTTTTTATTCCCTTTTCTATTTATTTCATCTTTAAACCTACTCGTTGTTTAAAAAAGTCAAGTCAAGTTTGGTAATTATTTGGTGTTTTACAGTCTCATCCACTCATTAAATCACTGTTGTTGCCACTTTATTAAAACACTAATAGAGAACAACTTACATCTTGAAATACCAGCTGGTTTTTGGGGCGAGTGTTGGCCTGTTAGACCTATATTCGTATGTTTTGGCCACGCTCACATCAATCAGTCATTATAATACATAATTCATTACAGGCTCTCACCGTTGGGTCCTTCTCCACCACAACAACTTTCACCACATCTCGCGCACTCTCCTTCTGCTTCAGCCAGTAGGCGATGGACCAGCCCATCACGCCGCCTCCTACGATCACAATGTCGGCCCTCTCCGGCGGGAGGTTGGGGTACTGAAGAATGGGGCTCCAGCTGCTCCCCGGCAGAGCGTCCGACGCCTTCTTCCTAAAGGCTGCCAGCTGAGCTTCCAGGTCTGGATGCACAAACAAACAGCAGAAACTTTACTCTTGTTCATCTGCAGATGTTCATCACCAGATGTTGACTCACAGCTTCAAAAACTCAAGAAGAATACCTGGTTTTGAATATCATAATGTTAAGTTTGGAATTTTTAAGCGAAACATTTTTATGTAATAATATTGTTATTAAAAGGTAAATGTTACATTCAGTTGCTCCAAGCTTTGTGGCATTTATGAATGATTATTATGCATTATATCTTAATTAAGCCACTTTTAAGTTATATTTTAGATGTTTTTTGCTTGTTTCTTTATTTTGTTTTGTATTTGTTTATTCGTTTTTACATTTTATTGCCCTTTTCTGTTCATATATGCTGCTTGGATTGATTTATTGTTAGGTATGCTTAGCATCCATATCCACTGATGATTTGTTACATAAAGAAGCTTAATACAGTTTAAAAAAACAAACAAACTTCCAACTCAAGATATTTTCTGAAACTTTAGCAACCACTTTACAATTCGGCATACATTGCAATCACATATTAAAAACTATTTATCATAGCTAACCTCTTATCAAATCATATTGTAACGATCGTGTGTTGGGAGTACAATTGTAAAAGTTTATATTTTGGAAAAAAATATATTGTTTGGAAGATTGCATGCATGCCGAATTGTAGAGAGGCTTTTAATATGTCACCACAGAGTTTCAACTGTGACATACGAGCTGCGTACATTTGCACAAAAACAAATCACTCAATAATTTACAGATTTCTGAACGTACACTTGTTTTTCTCGCAGGAAGCAGCAACAAAAAGCAGCACATTTGCCTTTAATGTTCACCCACCTTTCACGAAGTCATTTCGCAGAGGTGTGCCTGTACTCAGGCTTCGACCTAAATGTCCAGACACCCATGTGTGCCCAGGTGTCACCCGTCTGCAGGACAGCAACCCAGAACCCGTCCGCACCTTCGCATGCAGCCTGCGCCAAGCTGACATTGCTGCGGAAGCAAGCTAAAGCCAGATAGCTCGCTTTCTGTTGTGTTAGTCGGTTAAGTATGAACAGTAAAAAGTAAACAAAGAGTAAAAGAAACAAGACAACAGCGAACAAACTCGCGTTGTCTGCTCTTAAAGCGAGTGCAGTCCAATGTTGTAATGTGACAGGGAGGTCAACTTCAAACCTGAGTCCATGTTGACAACACCGGAAGAGACGCTCTTCTCTTTCACAATAAAAGCACACCTGTCTGTCTTCCTTTTTTAATAGATAGATGTTTATATTGTTTATCTTGTACTGTATCTTTTTCTTTATACTCCTTCTATTTTTTTACACTGTTTTCTGTAAAAAGTGCTGAACTTTAATTCAATTTCCTTGCGGGAAGGTACATCCCAAAAGGATCAATAAAGAGAAGTTAAGTCTAAGATAGATAGATAGATAGATAGATAGATTATCTACAGAGCGAGCAAGTAATTGGATGTTTATAAGCGGACCAAAGGGATTTTGGTGAAATGTGCAACGTTAAATTATTATTAGTCTTGATTTTACATTTTAAAAGAAAACATTTTATAGCATTTTTCACTTTGTGGCCAAAACCCCTCCACTAAATAATTATATATTTCTAACATATCTTGACATCCCATCTTGAGACTGTCTAAATAATAAGAAAAACAATGGAAATATCTTTTTTTCTATCCTTGACAAAGTCATATATGTTGTATTTTTTATAAATGTATCATAATTCAAATTACTACACCATTTTTACAGCCCTATATATACATACAGTATGTGGCAACCTGTGTATGCAAGTATCTAACTAGGACATTCATATTTTATTTTGAAAACTGCTCAGGAAGCCTTTATTAGGTTCTTTCAAACTTGATGCTGATTCATAAGGGAGGCAGTGGCTCATCATGTGACCATATAAAGCCAATCAGAGCAGTGGAACAACACAGGGTTCAATTTCATTTTCCACTCCATATAATTTACTGCAAAACAAGAGAGAGAGAAAAAATGCTTTCTTACATTTTGCTGTAGCTGTTTTATTGTTTGTCCGGTATTAAAATGTGTTTGGTTGATAATAACGTCGAAATAAAACCTTAAATAAATGCTTCTTTTACTAAATTACAACTTTATATCTTGTAAATTTAGTCAATCACATAATAAAAAATATACTAACCACATATAATGTTGGGTTATTGCTGCATTCTCAGTCCTGTTTTCTATTTGTTTACATGATCATGTGTCAATATTTTAAACAGCACTTACAGCCAAACACGAGGTTTCCTTCTTTCTCTTGCTTTGCCTTTTTGATTTGTCGTTACCTGCTGCAGGTGTTGTCTTGCAGAAAATATTTTAAACATGACGACAAAATCAACTGGAGGTTATTTTAGTTTAAACACACACAAACAAGTTATTCAAGTTTGCATTGAGATGTTTGGCATGCAGCGAATTATCCAGTATTTGTTGGATGTGAAAGGGATTTGTTGCAACATTGAATGACGTGTTGATTCCTCTTGAAGGCGTGAGCGTTACAGACAGTCTGATCAGATATGATCAAAGAAATACAATCAATAAACAAAGCACGGCAGGATTCAGACTGCTGATGCACCTGTAGAGCAGTGATTTCAGAACCAGGTGTACGTGTACCTCAGGGTACTGTTGTATATATCCACTCACTGAGTCCACTGTAACATCTGAACACCAGCTTTTGCAAAAACTTAATTAATACGCGAGCAGATGAAGTTGAGACAGTTATAGCTAAAAGTAACCTACACAATAACAATTGAAATATTTAACGTTAGCTATAAGTAATGGATAAACTGTTGGATAGTTACCCTAACATTAAAAGTATTTAGTGTACAGACATGAGAGTGTAAATAGAAATATTTCCCAAAATGTCATATTGTTCCTTTAAGGTCACGCTTTAAGCGACTTAAGAAAGTCCTTAAATTAATGTTATATGTTGCATATTTCTAAACTAATCTGTTAAATTAAGACACACACTGTAAATCTGAGGTTACATTAAGAACTGTTTGCATTCAGAACAGGAGGTTTATTAGTTAACAGGTAGTTTAACGTCAGTATCACCTGATGCAACAAACACAATGTGGACCTTTAGATCTGTTTTCCTTTTTGCATGGCACATACAGCTGTGAGCTTATCACTATTATTTGTCTGACAATCATAAACTAATGTAAATGTCACAGACCAGATGCCTGACATCATCTCCTTCAAACCGCCTCAGACCGGACCTGATTTGTTCTGTCGTTGCCCTTTTTAAACAGTTCTGGCTACCCACATTTCTTTGTATGTGTTCCTCTAATTATGCCCCGACTTCCTCCCGGCCTGCCTGTTATTGTGCTGGCATCCTGGTTCACTTTCAAAGACAGATAAGAGCGTAAGAAGGTAGCTTTTAAAAAACCCACTAATATAGTCCTGCTGGGGTCATAAACTATCCACAGCTCAGTTACTTTTAACTTTAGCTGACTGTTTCAGCCTTTTAGTTTCTGTTTGAGTAACAAAATCTGCCTACCAGCACCTCTAAAAACGAATTAATCCGTTATATCACGTTTGTTTAATCTTTGCTATAAAAAAACATGTGTTTTATTTTAAGGGGGGGTTATTTTTTGACCACTAACTCTCTGGAGTCTCAACTGGTTCCTGATTTTTGACTTTGAGTTAATTCAGCTTGTCACTGCTACTGAATAATGGACCATAAAGTAAAAAAAATCTAAATTATGACTATTCAAGTGTGTGGTTGAGAGAAAATGTCATAGGAAAGGCAGCTTTTTCTGCATTTACCACACGTTTGAGCCCAAATATTTGTGGTTAATGAACCAGAAAATGATAGAAAAATGGGATTTTAATGTTAAAATTTGTAGTTTTTGGTCTGGATCTTTGGCAAAGACGTTTTGAATCCACACTGTTGTGATCTGCAATGTGTTACAAGAGAAAAAAAGACCAGGTTTAATAAGTGTGACTGACAATATACACAAGAGAATCACATAAATATAAATAAATATATTGATCCACGTTTGTAGAGAGGACATGGCCACTAGAGGGCTCCCTGTCAAAAGTTTATAATGAGAAGATAAATAGATCCCACATTCTAGTCTGCAATACTTACATTATATTATTTCTACATAAAATAATAAAACCACTAAAATCACCTGTCGCCTTATATTCAGCTCTTTATACTTTCTAGTTTTGGATGAATGCCACACTTCTCATCGCCTATTTTTACCTCCATGGCTAATTTACATTTATTGTGGGAACGTTTCCAACTTCCCCTTTTACACTTTGCATTATATTCTGACAATAAGTCCACCGTTGGCTTTCCTGTTACAGCTCAATTTCTCTATGTAATAAATGACTGCATTTAGAAGACAAAGAAGGATGTGGTGTAGTTTTAAAAGGACAGTAGTAAGTCTCTTTTGATCTCAGTGGGACTTCCTGGTAGAATAAAGATAAAATAAATAAATAAATATAAAATAAATATGTTCCTTGTTTTGTATATTTATTTATATGCTATAACATCATAATTTCCCTTCGGGGATAAATAAAGTATTTCTATCTATCTATCTATCTATCTATCTTATCTATCTATCTATTCTATCTATATCTATCTATCTATCTTAGACTTAACTTCTCTTTATTGATCCTTTTGGGATGACTCCCGCAAGGAAATTGAATTTCCAGCAGCTTACAAAAACAGTGGTAAAAAAATAAAGAGGTGATAAAAAAGAAGAATACAGGTACAACATACAACAAGTGAAGCAAAAAACCTTTGCCTAGATAGTAAGAGAAGTAATGACAATAAGACAGTACAGCAATAGAACATCTTAGAATTATATATAGAAAGTAGAGATAAGAATAAAAATAAAAAAAGATAAAATTCACGGAAAATAAAATCAAATAAGATAAATGTAAATATAATATTTAAACTATTTTAAAAATAAACTAATAAACTAACAAACCCTTAAAAACTAAAAGCACTTTTTTTTTTTTTTCCCTCCATCGCTTTTATTTTGAAAGTAGCAACGCACTTTTACGGCGGCGTCCAGAAAAAAAAAGGGGGGGTTTTATTTTGAAAAACCCGACAAAGGAAGAGTCCGAGTAACGGTCGTCCAGCTTGACGCCGCGTCTGTTTTCTGTTCCCCGGGGCCACACAGTGTTTCCAACGGGACTCAACGCACTGTTTACCGGACTCACCATGACCGCTTGACCGAGGGAAAAGCCTCGAAATAACCCTCCTCCCGCCTGCGCTACCGTCGACACAAAACTTTCCCCACATATAAAAAACTTTCGTCTTTCGTGTAGTTTTTATGTCAAGGAATAAGGATGCAACCCCCACCGAGAAAGGTGAGTTTTTTCTCTCCCTCTCTCCCCCCTTCTCTCTCTCTCTCTCTCCCCCCCTCCTCTCTGCCGTTGTAGCCGTTGGAGCTACTTGTGTCTGGAAACGTTCTCGACGAACTGCTGCACACTTTTTTCTTTTCTTTTTAAAATAAATGGTTAAAAAGTGTGCTTTTTGTTGCTGGTTGGTTGGTTTTTAAACTCTTCTCTGTTCGTCTTACAAGTTAGACTTTAAAAGGCAGCGAAGAAACGGACGAAAAGAGAGAAAAAAGCCCCCATGTGCCACAGTTTTTAAGGAGAATAGCCCCGTTTAAACGTGCCCCCCGTTCCCTCTCGAACCGAGCGCTGCCAAACCGCGTTCAAAATGCGGCGGGTTTAAAACGTTTATCGGTTTTTATTCGGGTTCCGCTCGGAAAACAACTTCGCATTTGTGAAGCAGCATCGGTACCGGGGTGTTGTGTTACATCGGCGTGCAAGTGGTTCACCGAGCGACTCTTTAAGTTGAAGTAAATATCAGTTTGGTTCACGCTGCTCCCGTTGCCATCCGCGGCTCTGGCTGGCTGAGCGGAGCCAGGTTGTGGCAGCAGCAGGCGCAGCAAAAGTTAGGATTTTATCCAGGTGAATTAAAGTTTTTTAGTGTTTAATGTGTGCCGAATTTGAGATTACATCCACATGTATTAAAAAAAAAACTCAAATTAATCCATAATCTGTCATTTGAGTATGTTTGGCGCCGTTGACGTGGAAATTGACAGATTTGTTTATGTAGTTTGGTTCTTTTTTTTTTCTTATACAAGAAAGTCTTGGGGGTGAAAAGAAGAAGAAAAAAAAAAACAATCCTGGCCGTCAAAAGTGTATTTAAAGCCTAACTTAAAAACTCAAGAGTGAACAGAAGACTTCAGCGTTTGAGTTTAATAAATGATGGTTGAATTAAAGAATAGAAATCCAAGAAAAGTTTTGGTTCTGTGCGAAAAAATGTTTCATGTGGGATCATATTTCAAAAACATGGCTCAGCACAGAGAGAGACCATTTACACCCCAGTACGTTTGCACAGCAGTCACATAAATGCAGGTTTTTACTGTTTTTTATGTTGAATTTAAAGATATGTGGACTGTTAAAAGAATATATGGATAATTAGTTTGTGTCCTCGAACATTTGGGTGCATTTAAACCTAAAATATATGTTTTTTTTCTGTAAAATTATAGTCGTAAAGTTAAAACAGACTCTGTAAACCTGCCAAAATGCAACTAATGGTTGTTTTTAATTATCTGTTAGTCTGCAGAGGAAGTGTTTGGTCCATTAAATGTCAGAAATCCTCCCGACTGAGGAGCCTAAACTAAGGAATATTTGGTATTTCTGCTTGAAAAATGACTTTAATGATTAATCGATTATTCTCTTTTATTGATTTAACCCGATGTTTCACTTCTTGATTAATTCATTTTGTAGTTTTAGTCCAGAATGTAAAAATATATCACATTTTCTTCGACTTTAAGAAGCACAACTAGTGAATATTTCTTTTTTTGTGTGTTAAAAATGGAGTTTATTGCTCTAATTTGAGCATTAAACTTTAAATAAATGAACTTATGTGGAGGTCAGCTGTTATAAATAACTTTTATTTCACATTTATTCTCTTTTAAAGAGTTAATAAGATGGTATTAAGGTAATTAGATGCAATTAATACAAGAATACAACACCAGAGCACCAAAAGTGTATTAATCCGCCGCTGAAAATAGTCCCCAGCAGCTGCGTTGCTGCAATGTTTGTGTCTTTTTTTAAAGAAACTATAGACTAACACCTGGATTCTCAATTAATATATATTAAAGATGCTGATTATTGTTCATAAAGCGTCAGAAAATCCTAAAAAGAGTCCAAAGTAACGTATTTAAACCGCTTTTCTATCTGTCTAACTGTCATAAACCAAATATATTGAGTTTATTATCATAGACGACAAACAAAACCATGAAATCCTCACATTTAAAAAAAGTTGTACAGGATACTAATTGATCTAACGGCCAATTAGAAACCCAGAGAGGCTTTTTAAAGTGCAGAAATAAACTTTCTAATAACCCGTGTTCTCCTCCTCTTCAGGTCCGGGTCACGCAGGAGCTGAAACACACTCACGCAGAGCAGATGAGCCGGTTACACATCAAACACCAGACCGAGTGTGACCTCCTGGAGGACCTGAGGTGAGCGGTCGGAGGTCAAACTGGACCGGAAAGAGAAACTAAACACTTTCAGGCTGTTGGGAAAGTTTCCCCAGAGGTCCCGAACACTCAGTCCTTCCACTTGAAGTCGTTTCTCTCGTTGAAAAGAAGCCGTCGAGGTGAAAACGTAACGTAAATATAGGCCTGTCGCGATAAATTGTCCCAGAAATTATTGCGAT